TTTTTTTTTTTTTTTTTTTTGAGACAGAGTCTTACTCTGTTGCTCTGGATAAAGTGCTGTGGCATTGTCATAGCTCATAACAACCTCAAACTCCTATGCTCAAGCAATCTCCCTGCCTCCCTCCCAAATAGCTGGAACCGTAGGCATTTGTCACAACGCCTAATTTTTTCTATTTTTAGTATAGATAGGGCCTTCTTCCTTTCTTCTCAGGCTGGTATTGAACTCCTGAACTCAAGGAATCCTCTCACATCAGTCTTCTAGAGTGTTAGGATTACAGGCGTGAGCCACAGCACCCAGAAACATTTTATTAAATGTCTTTCTCTAACAGGTTATACTCAGGATATTAAAATCATAAGATTATTTACTTGGTAAAATATGGGGCAAGATGTACCTAATTTTAATCACGTTTTGATTTTGTAGGTAATTTTAACCAATCAGATGACAACAAAGATTGATAAAAATCAGGCTTTCCTGGTTCCTGCATTAGGTGGGTAATTAATTAGATAAACATTTTAGTTAAATTCACTTTTTTCTGCCTCTGTCATTTGATTCTTCTTTAGTACTATAACCCTTATGAAATCAGAGACTGGCTCAGCACCTGTAGCACAGTGGTTAGAGTATTAGTCACATACAGCAAGGGTGGCGGGTTCGAACCCAGCAAGGGCCAACTAAACAACTGCAACAAAAAAAAATAGCCAGGTGTTGTGGTAGGCGCCTGTAGTCCCAGCTAGTTGGGAGGCTGAGGCAAGAGAATCGCTTAAGCCCAAGAGTTTGAGGTTGCTATGAGCTGTGATGCCACAGTGCTCTACGGAGGGCAATATAGTGAGACTCTGTCTGACCAAAAAAAAAAGAAAGCAGAGACCACATTTTTCTTGTTCATTGAGAAATCTTAGCACCAAGCACAAGGTCCTTAGCTACTACTGTTTCTTTCATTTATTTAACAAATATTTACTGAGTATTTACTCTCTGACAACTGTTGTGTCAAGTTTGGTGATATAAATATTCATAAGACGATTTTTGCCCTCAGAATGCTCATGGTCTTAGGCAGCAGGAAGTGTGAAAGAATTTATACTGGGTGTCCACAAAGTTCGTGTGCAATTTACAATATAACCTATTTTAAATTGCACATGAACTTTATGGACACCCTGTATATAAATCATACTACATTATGTGGATTTAGGAACTCATAAGTTCTTTTTTTTGAGACAGTCTTATTTTGTTGCCTTGGTAGAATGCCATGGCATCACAGCTCACAGCAACTTAAACTCTTGGGCTTAAGTGATTCTCTTGCCTCAGCCTCCCAAGTAGCTGAGACTATAGGTAGCCACCATAATGCCTAGCTATTTTTAGAGACAAGGTCTCACTCTAGCTCAGGCTGGTCAAACCTGTGAGCTCAGGCAATCTACCTGCCTTGGCCTCCCAGAGTGCTAAAATTATAGAAGTGAGCCACTATACCCAGCCATGAACTCTGTTCTTAACCTTGGTCATGGTTTTGTTAGATCACAATGCCTCAAGATTTATTTCCATGGCTGGGTGCGATTGCTCAACACCTATGATCCTAACATTTTGGGAGGCTGAGGCAAGTGAGCTTAAGGGTTCAAGACCAGGTTTGGCACCTGTAGATTAGTGGCCAGGGCACCAGCCACATATACCCGAGCTGGTGGGTTCGAGCCCAGCCCAGGCGGGCCAAACAATGACAATTACAACAAAAAAATAGCTGAGCGTTGTGGCAGGTGCCTGTAGTCCTAGCTACTTGGGAGGCTGAGGCAAGAGAAATTGCTTAAGCCCAAGAGTCTGAGGTTGTTGTGAGCTGTAATGCCACAGTGCTCTACTGAGGGCGACATAGTGAGACTCTGTCTTTAAAAAAAAAAAGAACTTGAGACCATCCTGAACAAGAGCGAGACCCAGGCTTACTAAAAATGGCTGGGTGTGTGGTAGGTGCCTATAGTCCCAGCTACTTGGGAGGCTGAGGCAACAGGATCACTTGAGCCAAACTCACAGCAACCTCCTGAGAGTTTGAGGTTGCTGTGAGCGAGGGTGACAAAGTGAAACTCTATCTCAAGAAAAAAAAGATTTATTTCCACTAAAATTATTAAAAATGTTCTGTCAGAGTTTTTTTTCTTTTTTTTGAGACGGAGCCTCAAGCTATCCCCCTGGGTAGAGTGCCATGGCATCCCAGCTCACAGCAACCTCCAACTCCTGGTCTCAAGCGAGTCTCCTGCCTCAGCCTCCCAAGTAGCTGGGACTACAGGTGCCCGCCACAACACCTGGCCATTTTTTGGTTGCAGCCGTCATTTTGTTTGGCGGGCCCGGGCTGGGGATTCGAACCCGCCACCTTAGGTGTATGTGGCTGGCTCCTTAGCCGCTTGAGCCACAGGCGCTGAGCCCAGAGTTTTTTTTCTTGGGTTCAAAAATTTGTTAATACGCCTGATGATACAGAAGACTGACAAAATACTGACTTAAACTATAAAGTATTCTAAAATTAAAGAGAGAATAGTGATTTGCGGTATTTCCCTAGATAGGTAAAAATGTATAATCTCAGGATGTTACTCATTTCCCAGGTTTTTTTAAAACAGGTATACTCTTTTTTAAAACAGGTATACTCTTGTATGTTAAATTTAGTAAGATTATATTTGGTCAGAGACGTTCTAAGGAATGTCTGGAACCTAGTCAGTGAAGCAATATGTAGTTATTATGTTCTTTTTTGTCAGGGGAAAGTTGGGGACATGCTGCTACAATACGGCTAATCTTTCATTGGGACCAAAAGCAAAGGTCTGTATAGAAAGAAGTTAATAATTCTGAATGTTGTCTTAATTACACTTAACACTTACTGGTTTCTTGAGTTAGTCCTGTGGATGAGATCTTTAGTGAACCATGAACTAATGCTTTTCTTGTCTTGTATTACATCACCTAGAGCAAACATAGAAACATGTTGTTGTACTGCACATTTAGTTACATTCTTAGGAATATTTAATTAATGGGATGCATGCACCTGAAATTAGTAGGTGGCCAAGGAATGGTACTTTCTAAAGCTCTTTGAAATTATTTATTAACCATGTAAAAGGAGGTGGGTACTCAGTGTTTCTGCAAGAGAATAAAAAAAAAAAAAGAATAAAATCAGGACAAAAGAAAAACTTTTGGGGTTGGCTTTAAGACTCTAATTTATGTGGAAAATAGGACAGCTTTTCTTAGTTGTTTAGTATATTTCTTGTATGAAGTTGTGTTTGTTATTTTTTTCTTTGTATTTTCTTATCCTGCTTTTATTATCCAGTTACTTACTTGCCTTTCACAAGTATTGCTCTTTACTATAATAAAAGTATGGCAGCATGAAACCTTTGTGTTTGTTTTTAAAGCTGCTGAGCAAGTGAACAAACCAGCTCTTATTTTCTTTAAAATAGGCCATTGAAAGCTGTGAAGTCTTTTATTCTACACTTCTAGAAATGTCAGATTCATGCCAGCCTCTCTGTTTTGTGATTAATTGGCATAACCTAAAGAAGTTGGCTTGGAAATGCTCTAATATAGGAGGAAATTGAGATAGCATGTGGACAAAAATGGAATAAAGGGTAACATAAATATATTTTGGGCTCATTCAGTGACATTGTCTGTTTTTTTAATCTGCATTTTTTTGTTCTACAAACTAAAAAGAAAAATCATGCCTGATCAAGTTAGGTTTTACTGACCCTACGATCATAGCACTATCAGTTATACTTCCTCATACATCTTTTGCAACTGCTCATGTATTTTGTGTCTCCTTTAAAGATGATATTTCCAAGGAACTCAGGTAGGTGTTGTTTTTTTTTTTTTTTCATAATACAGGGTGCTGTACAATGAACTACCTCCTAATTTTGTAAATAAGTCACTATATACTGGATTCACAAAAGGAGTTCTTTTCTCAGCAGCAAACCTTTTTTGTAAAGACTTGGCAACAGCTCTCCAGCTGAGAGTCTTTTGAACATATTGCTTATACTTTTCCAGATTTAGGTTATTCTGTAAAGTGCATTTTACCTTCTTTTCTTCTTTTTAGGGACAGCTCTCACTCTGTCGCCCAAGCTGGAATGTAGTGACAGGATCATAGTTCACTGCAACCTCAAATTCTTGGGCTCAAATGATTGTCCCCCTACCTCAGTCTTAGGAGTAGCTGAGATGACAGGTGTGTACCACCAAGCCTAGCTAATCTTTAAATTTGCTGTGAAGATGAGTTCTCTCTATGCTGCTCAGTTTGGTCTGAAAATCCTGGCCTCAAGAGGTCTTCCTGCCTTAGCTTTCGAAAGTCCTGGGATTATAGGCATGAGTCGCTGTGGCTAAATGGCCGCGTTTCACCATTTAAATGTTCTTAGAAATTCCCCCTGAGCTAGTATATAGTAGTAGTCTTCTCCAGACTATAATGACATGCTAATAGAGCAAATTTAAGAAGAAAGAAAAATAATGGGAGGAAAAAAAAAAAAAGAGCCGAGCAAGATATTTTATCCTTTTTTTTTTTTTTGGCTGGGGCTGGATTTGAACCTGCCACCTCCAGCATATGGAGCCAGCACCCTACTCCTTTGAGCCACAGGCGCTGCCCAATATTTTATCCTTTTATGAATTCATCAGAAGGAAAAGTTGGCCTTCTTTATCTAGAAATTAGTATTGGTTAGATACCTGACAGGTCAGAAAATCATGCTTCTTTGTTTTATTTTGTTTTGTGTGACAGTCTCATTTTCTTGCCCACTGTAGAGTACTATGACATCATGGCATGCAGCAACCTCAAACTCTTGAGCTGAAGTGATCTTCCTGCCTTAGCCTCCCAAGTAGCTGGGTCTACAGGTGCCCACTACAACACCCACCTATTTTTTAGAGACAGGGTCTTGCTCTTGCTCAAGTGATTCACCTGCCTTGGCCTTCCAGAGTGCTTAGGATCACAGGTGTGAGCCACTGCGCCTAGCCAGAAAATTATGCTTTTGAAGAATTAACCATTGTATAAATTTAGCTTACAAATCCTTCCCAAGAAATTAGAGAATGATGTAGAACAGTGACATTAAATTTAGATAGATCTTATTTGGGTGCATGCTTGCTTGTGCTAGATATTTTACTAGGTACTTTATGTACAAATTTTGAAATAATCCTTTCAATAATTCTTTGAAGAATCTTTACCTATTATCATCAAAGTGAGGAAAGGTGGCTCATGCCCATAATCCTCACACTCTAGGATGCCGAGGTGGGAGGATCAAGGAGTTCAGGAGTCACGACCATCCTGAGCAAGAGTGAGACCCCATATCTACTAAAAATAGAAAAACTAGCTGAGCATGGTGGTGGGTGCCCTGTAGTCCCAGCTACTAAGGGGGCTAAGGCAAGAGGACCACTTGAGCCCAAGAGTGTGAGGTTGCTGTGAGCTATGATGATATCACAGCACTCTACCCAGAGCAACAGAGTAAGACTCTGTCTCAAAAAAAAAAAAAAGTGAGAAAGCCAAGGTCCAAAAAGGTTAACCTGACAAAATATGCAGTAAATAATTGCTAACATTTGCCATAGTGCCAGTCACATACTCTGAGGGAGCTGGATTTGAACCCAGCCCAGGCCAGCTAAACAACAAAGATGACTGCATGGGCAGCGCCTGTGACTCAGTGGGTAGGGTGCCGGCCCCATATACCATGGGTGGTGGGTTCAAACCCGCCCCCCCCAAACTGCAACAAAAAAAAATTAGCTGAGTGCTGTGGTGGGCGCCTATAGTGCCAGCTACTCAGGAGGCTGAGGCAAGAGAATCTCCTAAGCCCAGGATTTGAAGGTTGCTCTGAGCTGTGACGTCACAGCACTCTACCGAGGGCGATAAAGTGAGACTCTGTCTCTAAAAAAAAACTAAATAAATAAAATAATAGCTAACATTTATAGAATTTCAATTAACTGTCCTTTATTTTGCAAAACACCATGTCTGTATATATTATTTTATTTTCCAGATAGCTCTGTAAAGTACATTCTATTAGCCACATTTTATAGCTGACTCTATAATAGAGTTCATGCCTTTTCTTCTGTAATGAATCTTTCTAGAAAGTAGTTATAGTATTGCATTTATTCCCAGCAAATCTGAATGTGCAGCTCTTATTCTTTTTTCCTCCAGACTTTTTACAGATGGTGGATATATGATAAGTAATGTGCTTACTTTATTTTATATATATATGTATGTATGTTGGGTTTTTTTGAGACAGAGGCTCACTGTGTAATGTGTGATAGAGTGTCATGGCATCATAGCTCACAGCAATCTCAAACTCCTGGGCTCAAGGAATCCTGTTACCTCAGCTTCCCAAATAGCTGAGACTATAGCCCCATACCACAATACCCAGCTATTTTTAGAGATGGAGTCTTGCTCTTGCTCAGGCTAGCCTTGAACTCCTGAGCTCAAGCAATCCACCCACCTTGGCTTCCCAGAGTACTAGGATTACTAGTACACATGAGCCACTGTGCCCAGCCTCATACTTTATTATAATCAGAATAAGTTGACCTCATTTTTTTTTTTTTTTTCCGAGACAGAGCCTCAAGCTGTCCCCCTGGGTAGAGTGC